CATCATTTTTAAGCTTGAAGATTTTATTCGATTTCCTTCTGACAACCGTACTGAGATGATAGAAACGGGTATTCCTATCTCCATCCGCAATCCATTTCTGCCTAGACTTTTGAAACCAAAAAAGTTCCTCTTCTCGAAGAACATTAATAAGCATTCTCTGATAATCATTCTCCAAATTCATCAGAGCTTGAGAATCATTTTGAGTACGGTTGTTCTGGATGTTGGCAATTTTTTGGGTAATACTATTTTTCGTTCTATCAATATCCCCAAAAACTTTCTTATTCCATATTCTAAGTTCAGGCACCAATCTTTGTAGCATATATGGAAAATCAAAATCAGAGTCCCACTTGGCCCAGATAAAGCTATTAAAAGCTTGATGTTTCTGCCAGGCTGCAAAAAATCTAATAGGCTTCTTACCTTTCTCATCTGAATTTTCAAATAACTTTATTAATAGAGGATTGTGATCAGATAATATCCGAGGAAGGGAAGACACTCTAGCATCATCAAACATCATTCTCCACTCCAAATTCGCTACAACTCTGTCAAGCCGTTTAAAAATTCTTCTCAAATTGGTCTATTTAGAACCTTGCCAGGTGAATAGAGGACCATCATAGCCCAAATCTATCACCTGACAATCTTCAAGCACAGAAGAGAAATCAGCACACTTGGTTGGATCAGCTGGAACACCCCCTATCTTCTCATAAGTGTAAGCTATTTCATTAAAATCACCACCCAATAGCCACGGTCTATTCATAGTTTCACTAAGTTTTCTAAGATCTTCCCAAAGATTATTTCTAACATTTTGAGAAGAACTAGCATAAATAGTAGTGAAATCAAATGAATTACCTGTAGGAAGAGAGACTCTACAATGAATAAATTGAACTGACTTGGATAGAAGAGCTATCCAAATATCCCCTGCAAAACCCTGAGCTTCTTGAACTAAAAGGTTATCAAATCTCAACTTCTTCATTAATTTTTTGCACACCTCGCTTTGAGTTCTGGTTTCATGGAGAACAACAATATCAGTAGAATTTTTCCTGACCATGGACTTAAGGGTGTGTTTGGTACAAGAGAAATTTTTTGATATTCGAGAATCACGATTAATGGGAATACAATAGAAATTGAGTTTACTTGGAATCTTACGAAAAATGTGTTTGGTTCGCCAAAATATTACCGAGAATATTGAATAAAGATTACTGATTCCATGTTTGGTTTAGAACGAAATATGACTTGGAATATAAGGTTATTTTACAAAATAACCCCAAACTATTTTTACTTTTGTAATTGATAGATTGGGTCTAGGTTTTTATGTGTGTTGGGGTATTTTTGTTTCAAAAATTATTGTTGTGCTTCCCTTTACTTGGTATTCTGAATTACCATATTATTTTTGGTAATCTGAATAGTGATTTTTCTTTATAAATCAAATTACTGGTAATCCTTGGATATCCGGAAACTGGTTTTTGTTCCTTCTACCAAACATGGTAATTGGGTTTACCAAAGAAAGTTTACTAGTAATCCTTTTAAAATACTTGTACCAAACACACCCTAAGAGTACTACCAAAATCTTTCTTAGCAACCCCTCGAGTATTCCATATTAGGACATTCATTGATAACTGAGGAAGCTTTTTGCAGGGGTTAGAGAACCATGCTTATTCTTATCATTCAGCAAACCATTATTCTCTGCATTTTCCTACTCCATATTCGCACAATCAGTCTCAACATGATTTCTATCCACTCCCATCCAATTTGGAGGTTTTGGGTCCAGATTCCTATAATGTTTATTCTGTTCATTGTTATCTACTTCCATACAATGGATATGATGCTTGATCAGATCTTCATTCCTCTTAGCATATTCAGCTACTGTTGGACTTATTATTCCAGAATGATTCCCTACTTCAGAATCTCTAATTTCAAACGGTGCTTTATTACCCACTGAACTAGTAGAACCAGAACCCCTATTTTTGTTTTCACCAGTACTTTTTCCAGCTTTTGATTTGCTCTCATACTCCTTCCTTTCATCTCCCACCAAAATGAATTTAGATTTTGTTTCCACCAGCTCCACAGGATTAGATGCATTCTTCCTATTTTTGGATTGAAGGGACTTCTGAGAATCATCTTGATGTAAAATCATGGCTTTTGACTTGTCATTCTCTTCATTCTGAGATGCATCCTTCCTTAGAACATCAAAATTAGTACCATTTTTCTTCTTCATTTGATCCTCTTTTCCTTTATGTGAGTCCACTCTATTACTCTGAGAACCTTTATTTCTTCTGTTCCTCGACACCTGCATCCAAGGGCCAAATTTAGAATTACCCTCTGCTATCTCTTCTTCCACCTTGTCCTAATTCTCTTGACTGATAGACACCACTTCTCGACTCTGACTCTCTTGATTAGCCTCCTGTGAAACTTTTGTTGGGCAGGTTTCCAATATATGACCATATTTACCACATCCATAGCAAATGACTCTCCACCCGTTTTTATTATTGTACAGTCTGACATATTGCGTACTAAATTTTGTGTAAATTTTAAAATGCAAAATATATTCGTAGTTATTTTAATGATGTATCACTTTTTGTTTTTTTTATGCAAAAAGTTTATATTAGTACTAGTACAGAGTAAGTTTGTATTTTTCTGATTCAATTTTTTTAGTAATTATGTGTAAGTTTTTCAAGAAAGTTTATACATGTGAAATTTAAAGTATGAACTTTCTATATTAAAAACAAGGGAATTTATATTTATTATCATTTTTTCTTATCACTTTTTGTTGTCAATCTTATCATCATTAGTCAAAATCAAATTAACAGATACAAAATAATATCAAGTAAGAATTATTTATTTGATTTTGATTCAATTATGGGAGAAGGTTATAATTACAATAGAAAAATGGGAAAGGTTATATTTATTATCATTTTAGGCTTACTACTTTTCCTATCTACTTGGTTACTGTTCGATCAATTTAAAATCAACAGTTGAAAAAGAAGAAAAACTAATTGTCATTATTTTCAAATTGATTCAATGGTAATCAAATAGGTAGTAAAAATAATGGGAAAAATGTTTGTCCTTTTAAATGACACAACTTATATCATTTCACTCTCACAAAGATGTGGGAAAAGTGTTTGTCCTTTTAAATGACACAACTTATATCATTTCACTCTCACAAAGATGTAGGACCAACACCTTTATTTTTTTGTCCACTCTCTCTCTCCTCCTTTATCTATCTCTTTCTCTCACTTAAAATGACACAACTTTACATCTTTTAAAATGATACACCCTTTTCCCAAAAATAATAAGTCTAAAATGATAGTAAGTGTAACTTCTCCTTATTTTACATGCAAAGAAGTATATTGAAATCATAGTAAATAAATAATAAATAAATAAAAATAATGATGATAAAAATTATAGGTAATACTTACTATCATACTTTCTTACCACTTTTTACTATCAATTTTGTTATTGTTGGATCAAAATTAAATTACCAGTTTGTTGGATCAAAATCAAATCAACGATTATAAAATAATATCCAGTGAAAGCCGTTGATTTAATTTTGATTCAACAATAATAAAATTAATAGTAAAAAGTGATAAAAAAATATATAATAAGTAATACATCCCCACAAAAATTTATGGTGTGTTTGAAAGTGTTTTAATTTTTTTGTTTTCAAAAACTGTTTTAAATATGAATTCTAAAAGGGTTTGATGTTTGTCATTTTAAATTACATAAGTTATGTCATTTTAGAAGAGAGATAGACACAAAAAATGAAAATCATGATAGAGAAAGTGGGTGGTTTTTTTAATTTAAATTTTAAATAAAAAAATATTATTATGTGGTTGTCTCTCTTTTTAAATGACATAACTTTATGTCTTTTAAAATGACAAATTTTTTCCATTTTAAAAACTGATTTTGGGAGTAAAAAAACAAAAACAAACTTGTTTGAGTGTAGTTAAATTCAAGTTATAAAAAAGTTATAATTATTTACAAAAATGCCATTAATGAAGTTTTAGAATTACAAAAATGCCACTGTAAAGTAGTTGTTTTGAGTTCTAATATATTAATGAATCTTGATATTTATGAAATTGCCACCGCCTAAACAAAAAAACCAAAAACACCGCAGGAGAACATCGGGAGGTTATTTTGGTTTTCTAGTTTTTTAAAATTAAAAAAGAAGGTAAAAGTGTTTGTCATTTTAAATGACATGAAGTTATGTCATTTTAAGAGAGATAGATATAGAATAAATTTTTTTTATTTAAATTTTAAATTAAAAAAAAATTATCCACTTTCTCTCTCTCATAATTTCTATTTTCTGTATCTATCTAACATAACTTATGTCATTTAAAATGACTAGCACGAAGTCAAAAAAAAAAAATCATTGTTTTGGAAAACATTTTACAAAACAATCATTTTCAAACAAATTTTTTTAGTTTTTGTTTTAAAAACTGTTTTTGAGGATATGAATGAAACAGAACCTTAGTCTTTAAAAACTAATTTGTATAGAAAGATGTGCTTATTTATATAGAAAAAACAATGGGGAATATTTAAAAAACAATGACAACGACACTGACAACGACAACGACACCCGGTAGTGTTGCTATTTATTTTATTTATTTATTTGGAACCGAGTAACTCAGTTTCCTTTTCCATACTCGTACAGTTTTTCCTTCGCAGTGCAAGTCTTTCACGAACCTCCTCCAGGATGTCTCTATAAAGTCTGTGTAGCGACACCGTGTTCGCTGGTCTAGTTTATGTGTTTAAGCCTTCTTTGTTTTGTTTAATTTCCTGGACTATACAAAAAAAAGAGACAGAGAACGCGAGTTGTTAATGAAACTGCTCCTGTCTGTAACCGTTTTCAGAGGAGGATTGCTTCATTTGCTTGGTGTTGTTGTTATTGCTTTTACGTTATACACTGTTTCCCCTGCTCAGGGATCTCGTTGTTCAATATAAACGGTTTTGTTTTTTGTTGTGGCGAATGAGGAGGATTCAGATTGGTTACTAAAGCGTGACGAAGCGACAATTATCTTTTTTTTTTTTTGGGTTTTTGAGTTTGTTGACTTGTGTTGAACGATGTTGAATCATGGGTCAAATGTTTTCGCTGAAGGTGGGAATCGAATGTTTCTGAGAATCTGAGGTTTCTCTTTTTTGTGGTTAACCGCAGGCTGATTGTGATTCTTTTTTTTTTGTAAAGGGGTGGTTTGTTCCGGTGAGGATGAGCTGTATGAGCCGCTATGGAAGGCCTGTGCGGGTCCACTGCCTGTCGATGTTCCTCGTGTTGGCCAGAGGGTCTTCTATTTCCCTCAAGGACACACCGAGCAAGTGAGTTTTCATTTCATTCCCTTTTGCAAAAATTTCTCTTTTTTTCTTTCCTTGGCAGAAATTTTTTGCTTTTATGTTGTGAAAATGGAATTGTTGGGTAATCTTGGTTATGCTGGATTTTTTATTTATTTATTATTTTTTAATTAATTTTTGTTGTTGTTGTTTATGTAGTTTGAGGTGTGCGAAAATCAAGAACTGAATCAGAGTATTCCTCCGTTGAAACTTCCCACAAAGATCCTTTGTCGCGTCGGGAATGTCCATTTAATGGTAAATCTTTTCTCTTTAATAATCACCCTTCATTTCTATTTTTTTTTTAAATAATTATATAAAAGAAAAATGAAAAATCCCCCAACAAAAATCACATAATATGTTAATTGATAATTTCATACCAAAAATTTGTACATAGAAACACCAAACCAAGATGATCCTTTGACCATCTTCTCATTAACCACATAAAAAACCACTCCCCAATTAAACTTGACTAGGAAGTATAAGACTGCATACAAAGATTCTCTCACCCCACACTCACTAGTTGGGTTTGTTTGGGCAGTTGTTGCTGAGAAGATGGTCAAACGATCACCTTGATTTTGGTGTTTCTATGTACAATTTGGTGTGAATTTATCCACTAATATATTATGTGATTTTGTTGTTGGGAGTAAACAAAAGCTTACACTGAATTTTGGTATGTTTTAGGCTGAACAAGAAACAGATGAGGTTTATGCACAGATTACTTTGGTGCCAGAATCTAATGTAAGGATGTAGTTGCCCCTTTTGACTTTCAATAGTTTTCGTGGTCAACCTTAAGATTCTTTTGCCCCGTTGGTTTAGATTCTAATGGAACAAATGTGTTAGCAAGCTGAGCCTACAAGCCCTGATCCGTGCACTGCTGAACCTCCGAGGGCAACATTTCACTCATTCTGCAAGGTCTTAACTGCTTCGGATAGCAGAAGGCGTGGTAGCTTCTCTGTTCGCATGAAACATGCCACAGAATGCCTTCCTGCTTTGGTAATACTTTCTATTTCGTTTTTATTGAATTCCTTTTGGGTTTCCATTCCCAAATTACCAGTTCGAGCATTGGAGTGGTAAGATTGCTTCTTGTGAAAGGAAGATCACATCTGGAAAACAGTCTCTTTACAAAACTGCAAGGATAAGACCGTGTACAATTGATTTTCACTTTTACTCTCGCAAGTCGGGTTTTCCCTTTATTCCCAAATTACCTTAGGCCCTTGTTTATGTTTGAAAATAATGTTTGGAATAGGACATGTCTCAACCAACTCAAGAATTGGTCGCCAAGGATCTTCACGGTTATAAATGGCACTTTAAGCATATATTTAGAGGTAATGGACATGAGAAGTTTTCATTTCAGTCCTTGTGATTTAACTTTGGAATCGCCTAATGATTTTCCCTTGAACTTGTGTTTCTTTTTTATCAGTTCAGCCACGCAGACACTTACTCACGACTGGATGGAGTACTTTTGTGACTTCCAAGAGATTAGTTGCTGGAGATACCTTTGTGTTTTTGAGGTAAACATTCATTTTTTTTTTCCATCCTTAGTTTCATTCATATAGTTCGAAGATTTCTACTGTAAATTCATGTAAGAATGTATATATTTTGCTGTAAAAGATTTACTTTAACTAAGATCTTGTGTATATAGAGGGGACAACGGGGAATTACGCGTTGGAGTGAGGCGTCTTGCTCGTCAGCCAAGTAGCATGCCGTCATCTGTGATTTCCAGTCAGAGCATGCACCTACGAATTCTAGGAGTTCTTGCAACTGCCTCTCATGCTGTTTCAACTCAGGCTCTTTTTGTAGCATATTATAAGCCAAGGTAGAATTTTTACTTATTTCAAGAACTAGAAAATGTGTTAATGATAAATAAATTAGTACATGATTTGTTGACATGAGCTTTTGTTTGCTTAGGACGAGCCAGTTCATCATAAGCGTGAACAGGTACTTGGAGGCTATCAACAATAAGTTTAGTGTTGGCATGAGGTTCAAGATGAGGTTTGAGGGAGATGATTTCACTGAGACTGACAAAAGGTAGTAAAATTTATCACAGTAGTTTGTTTTGCGACCTTTTCATAGCTGTTCTAATACATGGTTGATAAGATTTTCCGGTACCGTAGTTGGAGTAGAAGATATTTCTCCTTATTGGGTAGATTCAAAATGGCGATCACTTAAGGTATTTTATTTTGTCATCTTTTTTTTTTTTGAAATATTTCAATCGATTCATTGTTTCGTAGTAATCCGATTCGGGACGGGTTCAAGATTAAGACTTTAAACTCCTCCGAAAAGTGGTACTGAGAAAGTTAATCATTGACTCCGAAGTTAATCATTTTATTTTCGGTTATCATATGTTATTCATTTTTTTCCCAGGTTCAATGGGATGAAGCTGCAGCTGTTACAAGACATGATAGGGTTTCACCATGGGAGATAGAACCTTTTGTGGCTTCTGCTTCGACACCCTCGATTCAACCTACAGTTGTAAAGACTAAAAGGCCTCGACCACCCAGTGAAGTTCCAGATGTTGGTGAGGAATCATTTCTAATAACTCCTTCCATTTCTTATATTGATCAAGTTATTGGTTTTGTTTGACACTCTACATTCCACTTTCGAACTAGACATAACATCGGCTGATATGAATAGTAAAAGCAACAGCAACACTATATTAAGGGATACAATAGAAGGAAGTTGGCTATCTTCTCCCAATTCTAGTTCTCCTTCTCATTTGAATCAGGACACAACGGATGATAGCGAGAGTGTCTCAGCTTGGCCTGTTTCAAATCCTCAGTCATCTAGATTGAACAACGATCATGTGCTTGTTGACCAAGTTGATAAGGAGAAGAAAGTCGAGACTGCTACAAGTTATCAATTGTTTGGAATCAAGGCTATTGATCATTCCAGGAACTCACCTGCTGTAGAAAAGGCATCAACACATGCAGGAAATGTACCCAGAGTTATTACCACCGAAGGCTATGTCAGCTGTGGAGTCCAGGTTACATGGTTTGGTTACTTATCCCTTTTTATGGCAATCTTTTCTTACAAGCTTAAAAAGCTTAGAGTTGAGATTGTGGAAATCTGTGTCTAAAACGAGTTGACACAACACGCATATGACACAAACACGAAATCGTTTAACCCGCACACAACATGTATATGTTGACGGGTCAAAAACTCGAACTCATATATGACCCGTTGTGGGTCGTGGGTCGACATTACATTACACGAAAAAAAATTTAATAAAAAAAATATTTTTTTAAAAAAAAACCCTAAAATAAACAAGTAAACTATAATTCATATACAAGTAATAAAATGGACAATCAATTAAAATGAGAAAATAACATTCACCAAATTCCTTAAATCTCAATTAAAATAGCATAAATTCATTAACTTGTCATCAACCTAAAAAAAACATCAACAACCTCATAAGTAATCCAAAAGAGAATATTACAAGTGTCATCAACCTCGTAATTTCATATTACCATCATCAACCTCATGGCTAGTGCAAAGTACAAACTCATCAAAATAAAATTAGACAATAAATATTCTAAATTGATCACAAATTTCATTAAACACTAGTTTATGAATCAAGTTCATTTCTTGATTGCTCCACCATCAAGTCCTCCATTAAGTCTTCAGTTAAATCTTCTATAGTACAATTTCATCATCTATTATAAAACAAGTAACAAAAATAATTAGAGCAATAAAATATGGGAGCATCTAATCTCATGTTGTAGGAGATACTTCTCTCATGTCATAGACCCAACATATGGTGGGTCCCACCATGTGTTAAAAAATAAAAAATAAAAATTTAAAAGGCATGTTTGTCGATGTATCTACAACATAAGATAACTCTCTACTATCACATGAGAGAATAATTTCCCATAAATTATATAGCCAAAAAAACATCTACAACCATAAATAAGATAAAAATATTACCAATGGCTACATAAAGCCAATCTCTAGTGCAAATTAAAGTCTCCACTACATCATGTGTGAGAACTTCTATATTGGTCTGGAACTCTTCCCCCAACACTGAAGGCACTTTCAGAAGCAACACTATAGATGAGTATGCTAAAGATATCTCTGGCCATTGAAGCAACTTGTCGATACCTGAATTGGTTATCCTTCCAATATGCTAATACATCTAATTTGAGTTTTGCATCAACCCTTGGCTCCTTTATGTATAGCTCAAGTTGTGACTTTAGAGGAACAATTACCTCATTAAAAGACATGAATCCCTAATAAAATTAAACAAAAAAAACCGAAACACAAATGAAGCCAAGTTAGAGTTAAAAAAGAAGCAAAGCAACAAATAAAATAGAAAGCGATAAAACAAAAGATCAACTTACACTCAAGACATAATCAACAACCTTTAAGAATGAAGCTAAGCTAGGATCAGTGGTTGCCCCACCTGTGTGTTGTGTTGAGGAAGTTATTGAAGAAGGGTCAGCTCCATACATTGCATACTCATTAAACAATTTAAACAATTGCCTCTTCACCATTTCCATTTCTTAGATTGCAGAAGTTTCTTCAAACAACTTTCCCTAATACCATTCAATAAAATTCATCATATACTTAGGGTCCAAAATGCATGCTATGGCCAAAATAGTACTATATTCAGAGTAATACTTATTAAATTTATTGAACGTCTTTGAAGCCATCTCCCTAATATAGTCATCATCACTTTGCAAAGTATTGTGTAATGTCAAGTGTGCTTTAAATACCAAGGGAAAGTAGAGATTTGCTGTTGCATACTTAGTGCCAGAGAATATATAAGTAATATCATGAAAAACAATAAGAAACTTGTTGATCTTTCAATCTTTTCTCATTCTTCTATAGATGGACAATGTAGTCAATCTAAAATGTGCAAAAGCACGTTTATAATACAAAGCATCATTAAGCATGATAAATGTAGAATTCCACCTAATAGGAACATCTTGCCTCAAACTCTTCTTAGAAACAAGTGAACTCTGAGTAACATACTCAAAAAAAATTCTTTCCTACCCTGTGAACCCCTCACATATTTAATACTTTCCTACACTTTTACAATTGAAGTGTCAACCTCTTTCAAACCATCATTAACAATCAAATTTAGAGCATGAGCACAACAACACAGATTAAGAGTATCAGCACTAGTCCAAATCTATTGGTGAACAACATCTAACTCCTCTGGTGGAGTAAAAACTAAAAAGAAGAATTCATGTTGTTTCTCTTGCTTGGATAGATCTGTAGTAGAGGACACAAAGCAGAAAACTCTTGTATCAAAGATCGTGTTTTTGGCAAGATAAATCTCCATTGGATGGTGTAGTGATTTGCGCAATTGCATTATACGAGAGACAAAACAATATAGTTATTGGATGTCATTTGTGTAGCAATTTTCGACTTCCTTCCATACCTCATAACAGGTCTCAAAAGGAATAAATAGACTAGGGATGTCTGGATCAATGGATTTCCTAAGGATACTTAAGTGTTGAGCATCAACCCTCTTCCATTCAGTTTTGTTGTGCCTTGGGAACATATGCATGCTTTGTGGTGAGATGATTCAAATATCCTTGTCTTTTAAACCAAATCTTAGCAAAGGTATACCAAGACTTTAAAGTACTAGATCCGGTCAACTTTTTCGTCATGATGGACGGTACATTCATATTGGAGAGGCCACCGGAACTTTAAACGGTTGAGCCATTGGAAAATGGGTTATAACCTCTAGGAACATGAAAAATCCCCAATCTACGAAAGTAATTATTACCCGAAGGAAAATGTAGGTACCAGTAAAAGATTGGAATGTCGAAGAGGACTGACCGAAGTGGACCCACTGATCAGTGAGACTAGATCTGGACACGAAGGAGACTGGCGAGCTCGCTTGAGGTAGTCTGCCAAAAAAATGGTGTTGTCATCAAGGCACGAGGCCGACCAACTGAAGAAATATTAGCTAAGTACAGAAAATGAATTCCAAGGGAAGGCTCCACCCAGATATCCAGCAACCTTTGGGAGTCCAAAAGCACCTTTCCTCATGCAACTCTGTTATCTTATTAGTTAAAAAATCCTTTCTTCTATTTATATCACCAAAGACTAATTTATTTTACTATTTAAGGAGCAGAGTGAATTCGCTAATCATTTGGTTTAAATCATTCTCGTTATTCCACTTATCATGCATGAAATCCGTAAAGTTAGGATGGTCCATCCACGCAGCAAGAAATCTAAAAGGCTCACCTGCCAAGCCTTGTGTTGCACATCCAACTTGACAAGCAAAAGATTATGGTTTGACTTAATGTTGGGTAGTGCTCTTACTTCTGAATTTATGAATTGCAACCTCCAGGTAACATTTGCACATGCCCTATCAAGTTTTTTCAAAACCCTTTCCAACTGATTCCACTTAAGACCTTGTCAAGAAAAGTTTGACTTTGACCACATATTATCTTCCACCTTACAATCATCCAGGAATGCTCCAAATCTATGGCACTTCGCAACATCAGAGCGTGTTCCCCCAACTTTCTCGTTGCTACTTTTTATATCATTGAAATCACCAGCTAATAACCAAGGGCCATTGATGGATTGCCGAAGCAGCTTTACGTCATCCCACATCCCATGTCTCAGGTCCTCCCTTGGATTAGCATACACGGCAGTACAAAAAGACCTACTTCGAGAAGCAAACTCAAGTCACATGTGAATAAATTGATTTGACTGAGCCATAGACTCAACTCTAACTTTTTTTTAGTCCCATAACACCCATATTCCACCAGAGTAACCATCCGCTTCTTCAAAAATGACTTTATCAAAATTAAGCTTTCTTATAATAGGCCTACTTTTGTCGCTCTGACACCGAGTCTCCATCAAAACCACAATATCAACAACATGTTTCACCACCATCATTTTCAGAGTTCGAGCAATCTTGGGTTTAGTTGTGCACCTAGAATTCCGTAAAAGCAAAGACATTAAGACACCATGGAAGTGGTTGCAGGATGGCCTTGTTCCTGCGATAAGCTACCCATCACTATGTCCTCATCTACATCAAGTGTCATATCAGAGCCTTCCATTGTTCCATGCGCACCAGGATTAGGTGGTTTGGGTTCACATAATGTCAAAGACACTTCCTTAAGAGCCTCACCTAGAGCTAACTTGGCAAGGACCTGATCAGAAGGAATGTCTTTAGGGCCCTTGATATTCGACAATGAGGAAGCAATAGGCTTGATATCAGCTACAAGACAAGAGACATCCTTATATTTGTAAGAGTTATGAGGCACCCTCGGGTTATTTACCATAATCATCATATCATTCCTTTGATGATCTTTACCACTCAAACTTCCTCCCCTTACCAGCTTAAATTCGTTAGCGGTTTCAATAACCCTAACTTTTTCCTTTGCTTCATTTCTCTTCATGGAGCCTCTCTTCACTTCTGCAATCTGAGTTCCATTACCACACTTTTCTACCTCTACTGAGCTATCCTGGGCCGTACTCTCATGCTTGCTCTCTGCGGGTTGACCACCAGAGACCCTCGGCACTGACTTCAACTTACTATGACTTTCCTTTTCCCCTTACCTCAGTCGATATTTGCCTTACCAGCCAATTTTTTTTCCTTTTTTTGCCCCAGAAACAACCATCCATGGGCCATAGTGCGAATTTGAGTCCTCATCCATATCGCTCTCAAGTTCCTGGGAAGGATTCATTTCTTTCGAGTTGCTAACCTCTTTTGCGACTACTAAACTAGCATCGGCACAGATGTTGGACAAACATCAATTCTGTGACCGTATTTTTCGCACATATAACAAATCATGTGAAGTCTTTCGTATTCCACCTACTTGTAACGGCCATTAATGAAATATTCTGCTTTTAATGGCTGGCTAAGGTCCAACTCAACACAAATTCTTGCAAATTTACCCTTTGCCAGGTTTGTGGTTACTGCATCCAATTTGACAAATCTTCCCAACCAGTTTCCCATACTTCTCATCAAAGAGGTATTTATATACTCTATAGGAAACCCAGGATACTATTCGAAGTTTGGCACCAAGCTTTGATGGCTAGGTGATAAGGGTCTTCCATCAAAGCAAAGTTTATATCCTTTTGTTGTTCGAATTCCACCATATAATAGTCATTTTCAATATCTGTAACAAAAACATTTCCTTCTCTGGCCCACATATTTTCCAACCTTTTCTTCATGAAATTGAACAACAATCTCTTCCCAAGCAGTTTAACTAATTGAGTTTGCTTCAAGGGTTTCCAGGCTTTCTTCTTAAATTCGTCTGTAAGCTTAAAGTTAATCCTTCCATTTTTTCTAGTCTCTAGAATGAATTCATGAGCCTCTAACGAGCTTTCCTGACCATTTGAACCTTTTTCCTCCTCTTCCATCTCGTCAATGTTTTCATTCTCATTATCTTCTCCTGAGTCCTATTCTCCATTGTGTCTCAAGAGGTTTCCTTAAAGCTTGCTTGAGCGTCCATCCAATCCTCCTACCTTTGGACTAAGGACTGCTCATTCGAAAAAGAGTCACCAGTGCTTTTATATTTCTTCGTGCTTCTTTGAAGGTTATCAACCTACTCATTGGAGATCAACTCTGGATCGACGGCGGAGTGCATGGGCACATAAACCAAAACCTTAGTAGAACTCTTCAATTTTTAAAAGACAACTTTTTTTAGATTTTTATTTCTTTACATTTCATGATTTATTTTCTTATTTAATTATGAATAGGTAAAGTATGTTAAGAGCACTGAAAATTTATCCCTACGAACCAAACATGTCATTTTTTTAAAAAATTCATTATCTTGGAATTTCACCCAGTAAATATAGAAAAAAATGTCTGTCCTTTTAAAGGACATATAATGGTGTCATTTTAAGAGAGAGAAAGACAACCTAGTATTTTTTATTTAAAATTTAAATTAAAAAAAAAATCATTCACTTTCTCTCCCATGATTTCTATTGTCTATATCTTTCTTTCACTTAAAATTACATAACTATGTGTCCTTTAAAAGGACAAACACTAAACCCATAAATGTAATTAAACCCCCTTCCAATTGGAATCATTAATATGAATTATTTTGTTTGATCTATTCATATTGAATTGCAGTGCTGACTTAAACAGCGTCCAGTGTTCGAATGTAGAAAGCTGGCTTGAAAGAACAGATAATGAGATAAAGAATTGTGGGCACGACAACTCATATAAGCCATTCCGAGGCAAAGAGAAGATAAGTGATGCAAAATGCTCATGGCCATTATTAACGGACAGTTCTGACAAAAGCACTGACAGAACGACAAATTCATATTCAAACGAGTATTCTGGCCCGTCCTGAATTTCTGATATATAGTTTTAGTTAATAAGGCCTGATAATATAAGGTATGATTGTATAAGGCCTGATTAAATTTCAATATTATCTAGTGTTTGACATGATATTGTATAAGATAATATATTGTATAAGATATATCATCCAATGTTTGGTAATACATTGTATAATACTAGATAGGTTAAAAATAAATATTTTTGTTAAGAATACCTTTTAATAATGAATTTACATAATTCTTCCAAATATATCAGATGATATTATTTTTTTATAGAAATATGTTGATCGGTGTGTCCAAAAAATATATTGATTTTTATAAAAATAAAAATCTCCAATATTATAAACATTTATATTAAAATTTATTTTTTATTTTAATATACTAATATTAAAATAATATATTAATTCTTGATAATTACATTGGTTAATACATCAACCCCTTATCAGGCCTAATCCTATCCTCCTAGGCCTGATTAAGTTATACATCATTTTGATGTATGAAGGGATCCTGTTGTATAAGTGTTGCGACTCGGCAAGTGCACCGGTCATAAAGTAATAAAGTGTACCGGAGTACGAGATCATTCCCACGAGGATCGGATTTTCAAGCACTAGTTCACTAATCGCGTTTTAGTTGGACAATCAAGAATTGGATTTGAGAGAATTTGTAACTGAAGAATTTAAAATTAAAAACAAGTAATAGCATTCAATTAAAGAAAATTCAGAATTAAAAAGACAATTGAAAAAGATGATGATTGATTACGAATTAAAACAAGCGTAGTTAAGGTTTCGACTTCCCCCAATATCCTCAATATGTTATGGATTAAACTGTCAAGAATCTGTTCTTAATATATTGCCAATCAATTCTTTCTAAGTTAATTAAGGTTCAATTCCTTGTTACCCTAAATCTATGTGATCTCAGAAGAACCTTAGTTCCCCGGTTATTCCCCAAGGAAACATGCATTAAGATCAAGAATTCCAAGATTGCACAATTACCCTATGTCTATCCCTAGATCACAAGGATTATGATAAATTTATCTAATCAGGATTCATGCACCAACATCCCTATTGTCATACAATTCCCCAAAATCATTCTATAAGGAGCAAACTTATAGAAAGCATTAAAGACAGATAAATTTATTCAATTATAAAAAAGAGAAGAATTCAGAGACAATTTAATTCAGAAACATAAATATTCAATTGGGTTCCATCTACCCCTAACTACATAAAGGACTAGCCTAGCATACTGAATTGAAAAACAATAATAAATAAAAGAGAACCCCAAGCCTCCATTGGTGTGATGTTGACTTGGTTCCTCAGTGTTCCAGCGCTCCTCAACAGGATTCCTCCTCCAGGTCTCTATGTAATTCTCTAGACTTGTGAATTGGTGAATTGGTCTGACCCTCAGCTCCCTATTTATAATCTTCAAAGCCACATCCTTCATTGCATCTCCCACCGTATCCGTATCAGATTTGTAGTTGATTTTATAATTGTTTCCTTTTTGCCTTTAAGATCTTGTAGATTGGTGACAGATTTTTGACTTTGAATCTTGTTATAATCCTGCTTCAATCTTCCATGAATCAAGGTTGATATGTTTCCGCTTTAGTTCCGGGTATCACAATCCGGTATCCGTTGGAAAATCTTAGCAAATCTCATTAAATATTTGTTGTCTGATGCGTGGCTGGGCGCTCAAGCGCGCTATTGGCCGCTTGAGCGTGCTCCTCGATGGTGAATTCGTGTCTTCTTGGGCGCTTGAGCGTGCTTCTGTGCGCTTGAGCGTCCTGAATTGCCCAGTTTGGTTGTTTTCCCTGCTATGAAGCACTCGAGCGTCCTTTTGTGCGCTTGAGCGTGCTCTTCGGGCCCTTAACTTGTAGGATTTTGGCTTCCCTTAGTCCATATTGAGCCGCAACTCCTTTGTCATAATTTCTTTAGCACTTCTTAGCACCAATAAGTGTGGTTTTACCTTCAAAATGCAAAGAACTATAAAACATGAGCTCAAATTCCTATCTTATGACTTATATGTTGTAAAACCTTGAATTCCATGCAATCTAATACATAATTCTTGCATAATTTAGCCGAAAAACATAGTAAATCAAAGGTTTATCAATAAGCTTATATTGTATGATGGTCATACCAAACAATTAAAATTATACCCACGAGGCCTTATATATCACACCAAACAGGCCTTAAGGTTGTATACCCACGTAGTCGTGACAACTGAACTTTATCAATAAGAGGAAACATAAGACAAGCTAAATTTTGGGGGAGTGTAGAGTGTTCAAGTATGAATTTTCTAATGTTATATGAGTTAGAAAAAGAAATTCTCATTCACATTTCATCTTATAAACATTGCCGCTAAGATTAAAAAGTTTATGAAAGACAAAAGCCTCTTGTGAGCTACGTCCTATTTACTAAATAAAAATAAAATAAAAATTAGCCTACTGGTAATAGGGTTAGATCATGGAGCACCTTTTTTTTAATAAAATTAATAAGATCATTTTCTTGAACAACTCTTCTCAACCAAGTTATATGTTACTTCGATCACTTGAGGGAGTTGGGATAGGTATTTACTCTCGATAGTCTTAAGTTAAAAAATTATTTTTTTTTTTAAATTAAAGTTAAAAATAAGGGTTGAAAAATAAAATTAAAAATTATTTGATAATTATATAAATTTTTTAATTTAAAAATTATTTTAAAACTCATGCTAAAATATAATTTTTTTTAAAAGTTAGTGTACATATTAAAAAAAAACTCCTTATAAGAGCTTTTAGTATTTTTTTTTTGTTTTTTTATGCATTAAAAAAACTCTTTTTATATTAAGAGCTTTTACAAAAATATATTTGACTATTATTTCTCTTTTTAAAGAGAAGTTTTAAAAATAAAGACCATCAATGAAGAATATGTTTGTTTACAGTGAGGGAAAGGCCCCATCTACGACGTAAGTCAGAAATTAAACCTAAGAAGCTTTAAGTTGAATATATATTTGAAGATTAAAAAATAAAAAATAATTTAACTAAGGCTTTCGCAGATTCAGTAACACGGAACTTTGCAAAGAGGCACCAAATAGCACCTTGCTTTCTTTAAATTAATTCCATAAATCAGTGATACTACATGGACAATCTATAATAAACGCACACATTTTTTTCATTTTTATATGAAAAGAAAAAGCATTGGTAAGGAGGCACCCAACAGGACCTTGTTTGCTTTCATCAATTGAATCTAATAAAACATTCATACTATCAACAAAATTGTTCTGGTATGTAACAATATGCAACAATAAATAAACGGTTAACTGGATGTTTTTTTTTTTTTTTTTTTTTTTAAACAGAAGGCCTAAGCCAAAAGAACAACAAAGACAATCAAAACCAAAACTAAATCCTACGTGTAACGACCCGAAATTTAAAGAATTAAAATAAATGGAGTCGCCACCAATTTTATTTACTTTGGAAAAATTGGAAAACCTTTTATTGCAAACTGGTCTTTAAAATTATAGATCAAAGGTTCGGGAGTCTAATTATGCTCAAGGAAGGGTGAAAACTTAATCCCACTGCACCCCTGACACATCCGTTTAAAAACGGTTACCTTGAATTAATTGTGCGAGTTATTAATAGCTTTTAAAAATATTTGCTTAATCCCTTTTAAAAAATAATATAATTACTCAGGAAGTGAGGAAACTAAATTATTAAAATTTTATTTTTAGCTTGACGGAAAGAGTTCCGCTCCGACGTATCCTCCGGTACAGTGAGGAATTCAAAGCTACGTCGTTCTTAAGAAAATGCTTGTGTATTGATTGAATTTAATTTTTAAAAATAATTTTGAGGAAAATCATTGGAAAGTTTAGGCTTTGATAATTTGTATCGATTTCAATAATTTTTTTTTATTAGTATAAATTTTATAATATATTTTGAATCACCAAACCGTCACGGCTAAAATGATTCAAAAGAGTATGGGATCGACAAGCCGTCACGGCTAAATTACCCCCTTTAAATGATTTTAAAGTTAAATTAATATAAAAACAATATATGATAATTTTAATGAGTTACGAATCATCAAGCCGTCACGGTTAAAATGATCCCTAACCAAATACACAGGATTAAACAAAACCGTCACGGCTAAATCACCCTTATGTGTAATTTTAACATTATTATATGTTTTAAAATTGAAATGAAAATATGATAAATTTAATGAGTTTCAGATCATCAAGCCGTCACGGTTAAAATGATCTGGAATGAAACATAAGGGATTGAGAAGCCGTCACGGCTAAATTACCCCTTGTATTGTTATAAAGTTTATGATAAATTCTATTAAATTTTGAACCTTCAGTTATAATCCTTTTATTAAAATAAATTAAATTTTTTTTACCTCCCAAGCTTTATACCAAATAATAACAACAGTGGCGGTATTTAAAACTGAGGTTGACATTGATTTGAACAAATAAATAGCATTAGTCTAATGATCAAAAGAAGAATTTCGGTGACTATTATTTTAAATCAGTAGGCTTGTACAAATTAAACAGCAAACCAATTTTTATAGAAACCTTGTTAAAATGAAATTGCTTTTCACCATTTGTATTTTATGAAAGCATACGTTAATATAAAAAAAACATCTTGATAAGAAATCATATATATATATATATATATCAATCATAGTGATTATCCTAATAAGAAAAAGAAAATGAGTTTTCTTATTATCTTTGTGTTCAAGTAATGTAACTTCAGATTTTTATTTATATTTATTTACTTAAGCAAAGAAAGAAACCGTCTAGCTGAGGATAAAAGAAAACGCTAAAAACTAAACGTAAGATGAATATTGATGATAAAAGTCTAATCTGAAAGAGAAAAAAAAAAAAAAAAAACATAAATATCACTAAAGCCAACGTAAGATAAATGATGAAAAAAAGTCTAATATGATAGAGAAAAGGGAATAAAATAAAAGTAAATATCATTAAAGCCATGTGAACTCAGTTAGTAACACGATACCCCTGCATGACGTGACAAGTAATGAACAGCTGGGAGGTG